GCAGGGATGGGGATTGGGGGAGGTTAAGAAGGACCCATCTTGCTGGCATTGTGAAGGATAGATTGACACAGAAACCGGAGGGAGAGAGAATAGTTTTGAGATTGCAGGAAGGTAAAGAATGGGACAGCAGTGTATTTTCACAGTAGAAAACTACACAGCGATTAAAATGAACAATTACAGTAAAACAGAACCAGCGTGGATGAATGATTCCATTTACATCAGGTTCAAAAACCTGATGTCAACTAGGCCATCATGTTTAGGATGTAACACATAGTAAAACTGTAAAGAAAAGCAAGAAAGTGGTTACTGTAAAAGTCAGGAGATCTTTGGAGAAGCATTTGGGAGGGACAGAAGGGGGTTTGTGGGGTGCTGGTAGTATCCTATTTTTTTGACCTGGGTGTGGTTACATGGGTGTTTGCTTTTCTTTGTACTTTTCTGAGAGTTCACAGTTTTAAGGGGAGCAGGGATAAAAATGAGAACAAAAATGAAAGAATGGAAAGCCTGAACAAGGACAATGACTACAGAAAGAGAAGTTTCTTCAGTGACTTATTGTGCTATTCTTTATTCTAAAAGGCTTCCCCCCCTCCCCATTTTAACATTTCTGAAATTGGGTACATCCCACCATCGATGGCCTCTTAGATGTGATGGAATGTGGGCATTTTAGGGCTCCCCACCATCCTGGCTGCCTTCCTCTGGGTCTCTGGCCTTTCTAGAGTGGAACCACCCCAGAGTGGTGACTGGCAGCAGCCTGTGGCCCCACAGCCGTCAAGAGGGAGAGGAAGGGGAAAAGCGTGTGGTGGCCTCTGGTGCTGTGCTGCTGATGGCAGGAAACCTAATGGAGGCTCGCTGGTCTGAATCAGGCTCCAAGCCTCGCTCCACCAGTGTCTGTTGACACTGACAGGCTGCAGCTTCCCATCTGCTATGTCCCTTGGTGACCTGGCCCACCTCGTGGTGAGATCTGCATGGCTAGGAGGTGGAAGGACAATTGCCAATGGGCCGTGCATGAAAGAAATGTCCAGGGACCTGTGAACCAGCACTGGCTTAGCTTCCTTCTGAACCATGTCTGGGCAGAACTCACTCTTTCAATTGAAAGATGCTTTTAGCGTCAGTTTAGTCCAGATGAGAGTTGCGTTATGGGGCTATGTAGGGAGGTATCAGAGAGAGATGGGAAAGAGTTGAGGTCAGATTTCAGAGGAACTTCCTGGTGGCAACTACAGTGCCGTGAGACACCTACTTGGTGTAAATACCATAATTCCCTTCTCTAGAATCCTTGACTATTCAACTAGATGATGCCTGGAGGCTTTAGTGCATCGCACAGAGCGCGTCAATGGAGCACACAGGCTTACCCTGCACTGTCTCATTAAATCATCCCCATGTCCAAGAGGTAGGCACTGTTTTGCTATTCCCATCTAAGGATGGAAGACATAAAACAAACAAAGGTCACTTGCGTGTGCCAGGGTCACACAGTGTTAAGGGGTGGGTCAGGACTCGATCCCATCTCTGAAGGTCCTTTACTCCCTGGCAGCACTGCCCAGTTGTGTGAGGCTCCAGCTGTCCCTGAGAAGGCTCTGTCGTCTTCTAGTCTGTTCTGTACCTCTTTTTCTTTTTTTCCCCTTGCTTTTCATGAGCTGTATATCCTTCTTTTTCAAGGAAGGATTGTCTACTTCCAGAGCGCCACTGTCTGGGCCCTTCTCTTCCAACTCCAGGGAGTTCCCTCCAGTAATGAGCAGAGAGCAACCACTGTGGCTTGATGGTTTGCCGTGATCTCATTTGATTCTTCTTCCCGTCCTTGGCCCCAAGCCTGGCCAGTTGTGCTAAAAGTAGCACTGACCCAATCGTGGTCTGTCCAGGGGCCAGGACTATTTTGACTCTGTCCTCAGGAATCATGTGGTCTGAGGTGTGTACAAGCTGGACTGCTCCCATGACCACTCAGATGTGGTGCCAGCAATGTTCTGGCCGACACACCTGTCCCCAAAGCTGCTAAATGCTGCTACTTACCCCGTGGCCCCCGCGTGTGTCCTGGGATACCGGTTCCGGGAGGGACAGGCGGTGACGACCTGCACCAGGGAGCGGTTAGGGGCTTTATATCCTCGTACGTAAGAGAGCGACCAGCTGGTTTTGGGTGGCACTTGCTTCTCATAGCTCCCCATCAGACTGGAGCATGTTAATCTGTGTATTTGTGACATCCATTCCGAATGGGGGCCCAGCAACAGAAGCCTCCTTAGAGACAGTTATTCTTCCAAGGAAGGCTGGAGGATTTCCTTCTCTGGAGGCCGTTCACAGTAGAAGAACTTCTCGTCCTACTGGCTTAAACATAAGTCAAGTCCTAGTGCAAGGCTCCTGCCTGGAACATCATCCTCTCCTCTACTAGAATGGCTTTGCCACTCTTCGAAGTCCAGCTGAAATCCCCTTCCCTAAGGACTTTCTTCTTTTGTCACCAAAGGGGTGCTTAGCACGGACTTCCCATTAACAGAGAGGCTTTTTCCTCCTTTTATTCTTTCCGTCTAGTCTGTGGGCTCTTAACTTCAGATACCTTTTGCTTGCCGGCACCCAGGATGCAGCAGATGCCCTGCATTTGTGGGCTGGTGAACCGGCACAGCCAGGACGGCCGCTAGCTCTGCTCAAGAAACCAGTTTGCATCTCCTTATTGTGCTAGTTCATTCCTCAGTTCCCTACACAATCCTTCAACATTGGCCTCTTTGCCTGTCTGCAAACTGTGCCTGGTCTGCACACGGGGAATAAACAATGTCTAATAAGATGAGGTCCCTGCCTGAGAGAAGCTCATGGCCTAGTGGGGGACACATATCTTGCCTTCTAGTGGGTGAAAAGCAATCATTCAGAGGCCACCATGACCAGCTTTGCCTTAGGGAGTTGGGAAGGGCCTCGCAGAGGCTGTGATCTGTGGCAGGCCCTCACAGAAGCTCAGAAAGGCACATGAGGACAGGCGGGAGGAAGCGCGCTCCAGAGGAGGGCCAGCACTTGTGAGGGCATGGAGGCACGAAAGGCCCTCGGGCCCGGGAAGGCCAAAAAGTCACCATATTTTTGCTGCATTTTGTCTACAGACCGTCTGGCTATGGAAAAGGAGGTTGCTTGGCTCTTTCCCACAAATAGGGAGGTTGGAGCCAGGCACTAGGGCTTGACCCCACAAGGTGTCAGGGTTCTCAGAGTCCCTGCCCCCCTGCCCCCTGGGGCCGTCTGCACTCCCTCCTCCCGTCCTCCCTCTGCTCCTTCCCAATTCGAATAAAATTGCCTCCTGTAAGGCTGATGTGCCTTCTTTCTTGTTAGAATCTTCATATTGTATGAATCCCAAGTCCCAGCTGCCTTGGCAGGGTGGTCAGGGTCAGAGGTTTGCATTAAAGCAACACATGGTCCTGATCGCTTCATGTGGGGGATGCTGAGGCAGGGAAGAGGCTGCTCTCCTTTTCCACCGATAATGAGAGTACCGCCAAGGCTGCTGATCGCAACCTTTTCCTCAGAAAGTTTTAAGCACCTTCCAACACTGATAATAACAGTATTGGTACCTTTTGAGCATTTTACAAGTGTAATTTCACTTATTTGTTAGATGACTTGATGATGTATAGTTAAGTGATATGCCTGAGATTTCATAGCTAGTCATAATAGAGCCAGATTGTGAGACCTCCCATCTCGGGGACCCTAGACAGCTCAAGCACCACTTTCTAATACCGCTCCAATCAAAAGGAATGATTTTAGCCTGAGGATGCTGGATGGCTTGATCTTCTGCCATAAGAGCCCCCAAACCTCCTCTAGCTTCCAGGACAAAACTGTGCCTTATTCAGATGTTCGCCACACCTTAATTGCACGCCTGCTGGGTGCCAGGCACTGGGCTGTGGCCTGAACAAGTCCTAGGAATGCATAGACTCAGCCATCATGTGGCCTCCCTCCTGATGGGGTCAGGACCCTCTTCCCACTGACACCGAGAGCCTTTTCATCCTTTAATGTGACCTGTTCTGTCTTCCCCACCGCTCTGGCCAGCACCTGTTTCTCTCCTCCTCCTTAGCCTCTACAGTGCTCATCACCCAAACCACAGCATCGAGTGCTCTGTTTTTGCTTTCCTTCACTCAGCAGGCATTTGTATGTCATTTGTATGTGGAAGGCACTGGGGATATATTCAGTATCCTGGTGCCCTCATGAATCACAGTCTGAGAGAGGGAGACAGACGCGTAGTCGGTGCACGGGCTACAGCATGCGGGGGACTGGGAGAGACACCTGCCCCGCTCTTTCTCACCTCCACTCAGTCCTGTAAAGTGGCATCGCGAAGCAGTGGAAGAAAGACTGGACCCAAATCAGAAGATCTGAGCTGGTGCTACCATCTGGGGGACACTGGAGGAGTCATTCCGTCTCTTCATCTGCAAAGTGGGAATAACAATGCCTAACCTGCCTACCTTTCAGAGTTTTAATGATGTGCTTTAAAATTATGATTTTTTTCATGAATAAAATGCATGAAAGCATTTTACAGGTTATAAAGCACTATACAAGTGGTACTTATTATATTTCCCTTCTGTCTCCTAGCAATGCCTAGCATAAATCTGGGCACATAGTAGATATTCAGTAAATATCAGTTAACTTAGATTGATCCATTCACCCCGCTTACCACCTTCTATGGACATTTGAGGCCACTGGAAACCCTAACACTGACAATGCCTGCTGGGGGTGGCAGTGAGGATCGAGTGAGAAGGACGTGCCTTGGAAGCTGTCAGTACTGAACCATCCTGGTCTTGGGAGACCTCCCTGGCTCCCCATTGTGTGGGCTCAGTTGCGGGCTGGCCAGTCTGGGATGTGGAGTCTCGGGCATGGGGCAGCCTTCCTCCAAGCCCTAGGTCCATTCTCTGTGGGGAGCAAACGTGACACTTCCCCAATTTTGGTTCCCAAACCACTCGGGCTGCCTGGCTCAGGATAGTGTCCATGGCATGGGCACAGCCTCTCTGCGGGGCCAGACCAGCATGTGCCCAGCCCTCACTAGCCTCCGCCTCTCGTTTCAGCACCCCTACCCCACGGAGGACGAGAAGAGGCAGATCGCAGCCCAGACCAACCTCACCCTCCTGCAAGTAAATAACTGGTGAGTTTACACCATCTGCACATAGTCTGCTATATCCAGGGGGCACCTTCTGGGCAGGGGAATGCGTAGCAGAGAAAAGAGACTCCCATGCCAGGATCTGCCTCAATCTCAGCCCAGCTACCATGCCAGTCCCGCCATTTGGGCTAGAAGCAGAAAGCAAGAATCAACACTGGCACCTGTGGCTTCATCTGCAGCTTCTCAGCGCCCTCTGCTGGGACATTGTGTCAGGCACATCCCTGGAAGCTCCTTGAGGAATAGAAAACCCACGCCCACCGAAGCCCCCAGCCCACCGGCACTGCAGAGAGAGACAGGATTGCCCGCACCCGTGTGCTGAGGCCAGTGCTCATCTGGTCTACCCCACCCCCATGTGAACTGAAACTGAAACGTGCTGCAAAGCTGGGAGTGGGGAGAGGGAGGAAGAGTAGCCATTCTGACCCCACAGGGATGTCAGCGTTCCCAGTCTCTGTGCCTGGCTGGGCTGTCATGGGGAGCTCAGAGAGCACGGTCTGGCCGGATGGAAGTAGACCCGAGTTGAGGGCCCTGATCCAAGCCCTCGGCCCTCTGGAGAGAAGTCAGAGGTTAGTGCCTATGACTACCATGCTCTCCTCCCCTGTTCATCCTGGAAGGTCTTGAACAAGGATTTCTGGCCCCCCATGCATTCTTCCCATACGACTTTGCAGTTTCCAAGCCCCAGGAGATTTCATGAAGTTCTCAGTACCCAGGGCCCTTCTCCCTGCTGGGCTTTTACATCGGGACGGGAACCCCGATCTGCTCTGTGAAATGGAGTCTGAAGGCAGCTTCACCCTCCCTACCCCCACCCCAAGGCAATGCAGGCGGTGACTCACCAGGTCTCCACTTTACCTCTGGGCAGGTTCATCAATGCCCGGAGGCGCATCCTGCAGCCCATGCTTGATGCCAGCAACCCAGACCCTGCTCCCAAAGCCAAGAAGATCAAGTCTCAGCACCGACCCACCCAAAGATTCTGGCCCAACTCCATCGCTGCAGGGGTGCTGCAGCAGCAGGGCGGTGCCCCAGGGACAAACCCCGATGGTAAGAACTGGGGCTGAGCGTACCCTGGACAAGGCCTGGGGGTGCTTCTGGAGCTTCTTTAGGTCAAGCTGTGCAAAGATTCAAGGGCTGTCTCCTTACCTGGGCTCCCATCGCTGCTCTGTCACAGCAATTATCCCTCCCCAAAGCCCTAAAGAAGGGGCTGTTTTTGAACATAATTTAACAGACCAGATGCACTCTCATAAAGACAAGTGGCAGCTGGTGGTCACGCAAGTCAGCGACTGCTCAGCAGAGCCCCCCATGTCCGCACCCATCTGAGTTCCTTAGCACCAGTCAGTATCTGCACAGCTCCTCGGGAGCCAGGGCCATCTATAAATACCAAGGCAGGCAGCTGGCTCGGGAACAGAGGCCAGGAAGAGCTGTTTTCCCAGCCTCTCCATCACACCCTCCATATACACTTTTCTAATTGCCAGTCGCCTAGTGCACAATGAATAATTCAATGAGCCAGACATTTTAGAGCTTGGCACATGAAGATAGCTCTGCATGGGGAGTGGGGTGTAGGTGTGTGTGTGTGCACACAACCTCATGCACACATAACCTCATGCACACGTGTATGCGTATGGTTGCACACAGGTTCCTTTGTGCTAAGCCATCATCTTATGGGTTATGATGGGGAAAAAAAAAGATTTAGGGGACTAGACCAACCTGGGAGAGAATCCCAACTCTGTCATCACTGACAATGTCATCTTGAGCTAATGACTTAACTGTCTGAGACCCTGTTTCCTCCTCTTTAGAATGGGGAGAATAATACCTGCCTTACAGAATTGTTAGAAAGTCAAAAGTGGTCAACACATAAAGAAAATGCTCAGTGAATGGTGGCTGGGAGTGCTGCTTCCTGAGATGGGGCAGGAAGTAGCTGACAAGTGAATGGATGGGAGACTTCATACCAGGCCATTGTCCAGCTCAGACTTGGGCAGCCCTAGAAAGGAGAAGTTCACTGCTCTATGAGCCAGTCCATTACACCCTGTCCAACACAGAGGTGCTGGCCCTGACCGGCAGCCCCTGCCTCGTCCTGACCCTTGCTTTCTCTCATGCAGGTTCCATCAACTTGGACAACCTGCAGTCCCTGTCCTCAGACAATGCCACCATGGCCATGCAGCAGGCTATGATGGCTGCACATGATGACTCATTGGATGGGACAGAAGAGGAGGATGAGGATGAGATGGAAGAGGAGGAGGAGGAGGAGCTGGAGGAGGAGGTCGACGAGCTGCAGACGACGAATGTCAGCGACCTGGGCTTGGAACACAGTGACTCCCTGGAGTAGTCGGGCAGCCCAGATGGCACTGATCATCGAGCAGGAGAGGAGTGTCGCCGGGAGGCCTTCAGGGTGGGGGGGAAGGGGACGTGGGCAGGAAGCACCGAGGGAGTTGGGCCCTAGCTTCCCCAAATCAGTAGCTTGAAGAAAGGCAGAGGAGACACCTGTTCCTTCCCAACCACCGAGCTTCAACGAGGACCCCAGTCCCACTTCCCCGGAACTGCCGAGGACTCTGTTTGGCGGGGCCAGTCGAGCAGCCTGTATGGAAAGACAGCAGTGAGATCTGGACTCACCAAATCCCTGAGGACAGATGGCACCCATGGCCCCCACCCATGGAAGGACTTGAGTCGTTTACAAGCCCTGCACTGTGAGGCAGATTGGTGCTGTTCGCAGAGTGGGCCTTTGCTCCGGGGGCAGACTTAGAAGGAAGGGGAGAGACAAAGGGGGACTGAGTTTCATCCCCAGAAGGTTCTCAGCTCCTTTGACAGACATTCAAGGGCAGGAGGGAGCCCCAAAGCATAACCAGTGGCCAGAGGAGTGGGAGGGCCTGAGGCATCACATCTTGCAGATCAGAATGGGATAGAATCCACCGGGCTCCAGCTCATCCCTCCAAGGCCCTGTCTCTGTGCACAGCAACCATGGACACGGGAGAGAGGGATGGGAGGCACAGTCCCCTTCACTCTCTCCTGGAAACAAATTGTAAGCTGGTGGGCTCAACCTGTGGGAGGTTAAGAGGAGTCCCTTCTGGGTTGACTCCAAGAGCCAAGGAGATGGCAGACCCTGGGCTAGGAGCCATATCAAGGTGACTTTGAGGCCACAGCTGTCCCTAGGTGGTCACAGAACTCAGCTCCTGTAACAATAGGACAATGGTGTTTTACCCTAGATGCTCCCACCCTCAGTGCTCCAAACCCTCCACAGACCTTCAGAGAAGGTGAAAACAGGTTATCTGGGAATCTTTCCACCCAGCGGGTCGCCACGGCCATCCCTCTGCTCCCAGGCTGGCTCCATCAGCCTCCAGCTTCCTTTCTTCATTCTGTCCTTCAGGGAAGGCAGAAGAAACATTGGAAGGCATCTAGTCCAGTGGGAAGCCAGGGGTTGGAGAAGGTGCTACATCCCCCTTCCCATCAATATCCAAAATGTGGGGGAGGGCCCAGAGAATGGCACCCAAGAGCCTGCGGGGGTGCCCACCTCACACACCCTGCTGTTCTAACCCTGCTGTCCACAGCCCTGGAGGAACTGGGGCCCCTGGAAGGAGGAGGAGGCTCTCCACTGTCCACCCTAACACATACCCTCCCACCCACCTTCCAGACCCCCTTGGTTGGCACCCTCTCCTCCTGTTCCCTCACCCCATGGCTGTGAATGACAGGACTGGTCACATGTGTGTTTTCCATTGGGTTTAATTTAATGGACGTGCAGTTTCATTTGTAAATTGTGCATTAGCCATCTCCTTCAGTGGCAGGATGTGAGTGGCGACCTGGCTCAACTGGAGGGGACCCGCGGGGCTTCACCTCTGGGGCTTCCCCTCCCCCACCTGCTTGGGGTAGAGCAAAAGGATGGTCACTCTTCCGAGGTCTCCCTGAAATGAATGTATTTCTCCCCCAAAAGAGCTGATATTTAATGTTTTAATAGGGATTTTTGAGAAACAAATAACCTTATTTATAATCTGGGTGATCCAATCATTTTTTACTCCCTTTTGATGCCATACATAGAGGAAAGTCTAGCTTTTTTGGCGTGAGACTTTTGCAATGTGCAGTGGGATAAAATGCATCTCCTTTTCTGGTTCGTTTCTCTTGTTCACACACACACACCCCCCATTCCACTCACCACCTGGACAGGTGTCCCCCAGCACGGGCACACTGGCACACAGGTGCCCACATCTCTTCCTCCCAGCCCCTCCACCTGCCTAATGTTATGCAACCTCCTTCTGATGTATCCACCAAACCAGTACTGAATGTGGCCGAGACGTTTTCAGTAAATCTTATTACCTACCGTAACCCTGGTGCACAATTCTCTTTCTGTGGTTGCTGTGGCAATCCTTTGCTCTTTTCATGGGACCCGAGGCCAGACAAAATTTGGAGGCCTCAGTGTACACCTGACTACCCAGGGAAGGGGACAAGGTAGATGTGCGTCCTGCGTGAGCTCAGCTGCCCTGTCTGGGGAGGAAGAGCCAAGTTCGGCACACTCACCTTGTGTGTGGCCAGTTGTAAGGCAGAGCTAGGGAGAGAAGGCAAGGAAGCTCTGCACTGCCCTCTCCTGGCAGCTTCCCCGACGGCAGCGGAAGCTCGGAATCCGGTCCCTCATGTCCACCACACTCCACCTCCCTCAAAGGCTTCTGCCTTCCCGTTTCCATCCTCAGCTCATGAGGGATTTCTTTTTTTTTTTTTTTTTTTTTTTTGAGACGGAGTCTCGCTCTGTCACCCAGGCTGGAGTGCAGTGGCCGGATCTCAGCTCACTGCAAGCT